ACTTGCCAGTTTTTCACCGAAAAACTACCGACCGTCGAGAGTGGGAGCCACGGGTATATAGCGCTCCTGAAATCCGAAAAACGTCAGCAACCGAGAACATTTTCCTTGAAGACAATTGGTACCCCTTCCACCGAACAATTACGACCCCTCTCGCTGAGGACTTCCAAATTACGACGTACCGTGTTCCAAATGAGACGGAATAGTAAAAGCTGCGAACTTTCAAGTTGTAATGTATTCTGCCAAAGAGATTGGTAGGTGGAAGACTTCTATTGAACTTGGCCTGACGTTTCGACGGGATCGTCGTCCTCAGAGGCCAGTCCACCACCACATGAGCGGAACGATGCCACTCGCTGTTAGTTGGTTAGTAAAACTACACTAACACTTTTTACTGAGGACGACAATCCCGTCGAAACGTCAGGCCAAGTTCAATAAAGTCTTCCACCTACCAACCTCTTTGGCAGAATACATTACAACTTGAAAGTTCACAATAATGCCGAGGTTTTCATGAAGAGAGAAGCTGAACACTAGTAAAAGCTGCGGTCTAAAGACTAGAAGCTGGAATAAGATGGAGCTGCGTCATCTGTACGGAACTCGGGTTTTTATCCTGTTCTTTCCAGTTTCAACATACAACCCACTTTGTCATAGTTTTATTTGATCAGTTGAACAGTGTGTATGTTGCTGCAGGTTTCACCTGACGGTGAGGTCACAATTACTAATGATGGTGCAACTATCATGGAGAAAATGGACGTGCAACACCATGTAGCCAAGCTTATGGTTGAATTGAGCAAATCGCAAGATGATGAGATCGGAGATGGAACTACTGGAGTTGTTGGTAAGTTGCTTGCCCTTGTTTCGGTTTGCTCCACTTGCATGTCTGACAAGGTTTTCTCACTGCAATTTGGAACTTATGCAGTCTCGTTTAAATGCCGGGGCGTATCACGGGGGCTAGGTTTGGCGCGACAGCGACCCGCTTTCAACCATTTGTGGAAGGCGACAAGCGACCACGATTGGTGGAAAGCAGCCGGCGCCGCGCCAAACTCTTGAGGCGGTCTCTCCGACACATCTCACATCTCAATATCTGCAGCTAATAAGGCTGCGATTGTTTGTGTCAAAAATTTTGCCGCGCGCCCGTTGGTGTTGTGCGTGTTTCAGCTTTGAGGTGCACCCAAGTTGAAAAAGTGTTTTCGAAATTTCTTTGGTGTGCTAAACCATATTTTTCGTTATTGTACGTCATACAAGCTCCATAGTTTTTACGAAAATGCAGTACTACTTCGAAAATTTGGTCTGAACAGTTCGTAGAACAGGTCGTCTAGACAACCCAAGATTCGTTTTTTTTCATTGATTCTTCTCTTTCATTCTGGCGAAGTATGAACGCGCTCTAAGCATCGTCATTTGCGTGCACGACGTCGCGCGCGAGGTAGCGCATCCCGGTTGTCTTGTCACGTACCTCAGTTACTAGAGTCACGTCAGAGAAGCGTCGTTTTTTTTTGGGGGGGGGGTACATTAGAAAGATGTAGCTGTGGTTGGATAACGAGAGAGCTCAGAGAAGCGACCATCTAGGATTAAGATTCACTTTTCAAATAGTCTTATACCCCTCCTTTTTCTTCGTCACCCTTTTTTCAAATATGGAATTCGATGCATGGTGAGTGAATTCTTTCGAGGTGTATCACGTGATGTTTGATTGATGACCCCGCCTGAAGTTTTTCTAATTGCATAGCTCATTGATCACGTTTGTTTACGTCAATTTATTTTCGTCAACATTTTTTTTGCTGGTTTTTTTGTAATCACATCAACCTCCACTGTTTTCGTTTCTGTTTTTTAGTTATGTTGCGAAAATGTCTTCAGACGTCCGTCCTGATCAGGGAGTCCCGATAGTTCGCCTTATAGCCATCCAATGAGATTATGATGACGTGCAGCGGAATGATTCTGAGCAGGGGCTGAATAAGTGTCAATTTGGTCCCTGTATAGATTACGTTACTCGTTCCTTGGTACTCCACCCTCAACTTCATCATTTTTAGGCAGTGTTCGTTAAAAGGTGCTATTGTACTGCCTGCGTCTTTTTTCATTATTATTCAGTAGAAACGGGAGAAAGGGAGGCGGAGAGGTGTAGCGACAAGTGGCATGCTCACCACGCGCGCGATGGGGGGGGGGGGTCAAATCCCAGACGGGCTTCAGCTCAGGCTAACCAAGCCTTCTGGTTCTATCGGGGACGGTAAATTGATACCAGATTCGCTGTCCCCGCAAGTCATTGTAAAGGCCTCATGCATTCAGTGAGTCACTACGGCTCTGAATAGAAGTAGAACGCGTGCCACATCGCAGAAAGGGATTAATTAACAGCTCCTTATCTTTATTCTTTATCTTTTTCTTTAGTAGCTTGAAGTTCCAAGCAATTGTTAGGCACTTTTGTAACTTGAATATGGTTTTATATGATTTTAACCCCATAAGGGAATTTTTCTCGTAGTTCTGATTAACAGAGTTAAGGGCACTGTCTCAAAGGGGGGGGGGGGGGAATCCTGGTTTGGAAGCTGGAAGGTCGGGACACTAAGCAGGACTAGGTCCACTCCTTTCGTCTGGGGTTCTTTAGGATTGAGCCCAGGAAGGAAGAAAATCACCGTCTGGCGCCTTCTAAGATTGAGCCCGGGGGATGAGATCACCATTAGTGAAAGGACTCAAACTAGCAGACTTAGTGGCATTACCTTGTGCCCCTTTTCAGTTACGTAACTCCCGATCAGGGCGCATCACTGGTTGGGGATTTTGGTCGTGTGCGTCAACCACCACTCCCATCACTCCTAGAAGGCCAAAAAGTGGAATAGACTGATCCCAACAATGAGCAAGTACGACCCCCACTCCACTTTTTTTACAACCTCCATGAGGCGAGAAAAATCAACTATCAAAATAAATTTTTCTCAGCCCAAATACGACCTCCCTCTCCTGGCGGCCAAATAACCCCCTGTTGGGGATTCCTCAACAACGATGTACCCTGCTCCCGATTTGTGCAGTTCAACACGGCGAACCAGAGAGACGGCGCTAATTGACAAAGGGTTGTATTTTCACATGAAGGTATTTAACCAAATTGAATATATTGATGAAGAACCTTTGAACTTTAGTTCCTCCTTTGAAATCCCTTGTTAGCGATAATGCCCACTCAAGTGGATAATAGGATTGACCAAAAAAAACTTCCAATTAACTGCACTAATTACTATGCAAGCATAATTGCTCAACTGCCATTTGGGTTTACTGTAATCCACTTTGCAGTATGCTATTACCAATTATGGGATGCAGCACCATCTTTTACCCATGTATGTGTGTGATGTGTTATATGTCTGTGTTTAGAGAAGATATGAAGGGTGATGTTTGCCGAAAGAAAAAAAAGTTCGATCGGAAGTGGCCATTTCCTGACTCTTTCTTATCCTTAGCGTTATAATTGGGAAGCGGTGATTTGAAATCAGAATGAGAAATGAATGAGAAATTTCGCAAGACAAGGGTAGATACTTATCGATGATGAGAAGCGAAAACCTGTTCCTCCCTCCCCCTCCACCTCCCGTCTGAAGCGCAGATAGGGTAGGGTTTCCTGGGCCATTAAGCAGTTAACGCTTTGAAGAGTACCTATTTTCAATGGTAGTTGTTTGCGATTTTCTGAGTTTGATGGAGAATGTCTAAATTGTGAACTCCCGTCTGGAACAGATAAGGGCTAATGGTAGGGTGCAGGGTATGTCATAGGAACCCT